AAGTAAGGTATTGTTTATTTTAAGAAAAAGAAAACTCTTTTTAAAAATTAAACATACTCTAACAAATAAAATATTTGAAGTATAACTTTTTAAATAATATTCCTAAAATAATTTAAATTTTGAGCACATTAATTAATTATTTAAAATAATAATTTTTCTATTTTATAATTGAAATGGTATTTATAAATTCTATATTATTGTATATAGAAATTGATCCTCCTAATAAAAGTTTTCTAAATAGCTATTTTAAGCAATTCTTAATTGCTAATCGACAACGTTTTTCAAAACTTTTATTGTTTATATATGTTTACAATTTTCTATCTATAAATTTAGAGAATCATATAATATATTTTAGTCTAAATAAACGTAAATACATTATTTTTACAACATTAAAAGATAATTAATTATCTATTACATGGAATCATAGTATATAATTTCATTCTTTTTATGATATAAAACTAGAAAAAAATAATTAACATATAAAATATTTTTTCACGGTCACATTTTCTGTTTAATTAATATTTTTTATGATATTATTAAACTAAATTAAAAACTTTAAATATAGAATAAAAATTATATGATATAAGTTCTTTTATTTTATTAAATTTTAAATTTAAAAATATATAAAAATTTGAAAAATGTAGATATTATAATTATTAACAATAAAAATTGATATATTAAATAAAAATTAATTATAAAAATAAAATTCAAATAAATTAAAATTAAAAAATAATTATATAATGCAGAAAAAATCACTTTATATGATAAAATAAAAATTAATCTATGAAGTTCAATTGAAAATACTCCTAAAAATATTCATATTTAATTATTTTAAAAAAAATTCTCTGATTCAAAATTTAGTACTCATAATTTATACATAAAGGATGATTACATTTTATTTGTTGGATTAATTGAAAGAAGTTTTTATTTAAAATGTCTATTTGATAAGAATATTTGACTATTTTAAGAAATAAAAATCATAAATATTGATTATTAATTTATTTAAAATTAATTTACTTAACAACTCTCTATAAACATTAAATTTTATATTTATGAATGTTTTATCATCTAAATCTTCGTATGTATGATTGATATAAACAAAATATATTATTAAAAAATTTAATAACATTTAATGGAATCAGAATTCATTAATCCAACTATTGGTTTAAGATTTTTCAATAAGTAGTATATCAAGTCTAGCAAAATTTATAAATTTTAAATATTATTTGACACTTCATAAAATATTTTTTTAAATACACTATAATGCCAATTATAATATTATATAATTCAACGATTGAATTAATTAAGTTTTATAATTATAAAAATTTGTCAAGCAAATTAATTAGTTAGACATAGTATACTTAGGCTAATTTTAAATTAATATTTACTTATATTTTAAAAGTATATTATATGTTAAAATAAAGTTGTTGATGAAATGTAAATTAATTTTTTATTTCTATAAAATTCTATATACTTGGCTCAGCTTGAATGGACTTCTAGAGAAATCATTATAAAAAAAAAATTAAATTTTTCAAGTTAAAAATAATTTATCTCTTTAAAATTTTTGAAAATTCAATAAGAAAACTTCTAAGAAAATATCTAAAAATATAAGTTATTTCTAACTTATAAGAAAAGTTTTATTATTTTTTATAGTGATTTTTTTATAAATTTTTTAAAAAAAAATTACTTAAATTGGACTTTAATATAGTCAATAAGACCTTTTAATTCAATGGTTGGTTGACAAAATTTAATATTATAAAGAGTTATTAGAAAAAATAAAATTGATAAGAGTTATTCTTAAAATAATATGTTTATAGTCATCATGCATATCAAATTTTAGATAAATATTTAAAATATATATGTAAAACTCTATTTACTTATGTTATATATATATATGTATATATATATATATATATATATATATATATATAAATCTATTGATATTTGATGTTAAATTTGAATACTTATATTATTTAATATTTTTTAGTAGAATGTGATATTGATTAATTTTGTTTTTGGTTTAAATGTTATTATCAAGTAGATTAATTTAATAAATTTTTTAGAAAAAAACTTAATAAATACTTTATCACATTATTTTATTTTGACAAATATTATATTTTTAAAATATAAATAAATATTAAATATTAGATAACATGCTTACAAATGTTCAAAAATGTATGAAATTTGATATACATGTTCATGAAGAGAATATAAAATGATTCAACCACTAAATTAGTTAATTTCATATTGTATGAAAAGTTATTAATTTGTGTAAGTGTTATAGTTTGACATTTAGTGTTGATGAATCCTAACTCTTATATACAAACATGAGATATCAAATTATATCAAAGTTATGCTTATTTTTATATTGTTTAGTATTTTTTTTATTAGATTATTTGATATTAAAACTAATCATTAAATCAAATCAATCATATAGATCATGTTTGCAAAATTTTAAATTAATACAAAATTGTTTAATAGAGAGATTAAATTATGTTGGTTTAAGTTGTACTCACTTTTACAACATTAATAACTTGGTATAGAAAATAATTTTTATTGATCCAAAAGTTGAACTATATTATATATTACTTAAATTATTTAAATCAAATTTGGTCGAAATTTAACAACAATAATAATATTAAAGGGTTCTTGTTATTTTTACATATGTTAAAAATATATATAATGTTAATTTTAATTTTAATGTACATGAATAAAGTATTAAATAATTTTTGAATTAATTTAAAATTTTACATATATAATTTATTTGATTAAAATATTTAATCTAACGATAATTCTAGAATTAAATATCTTATAAAAAGTTATTAAACAATGTACGAGTAAGTATAACTTCCACCCGTATAATTTCATCTCTTTCTTTATTTAATATCTTATTTATATACATTAAAATTAACGTAAAATATGTTTTTAAAATATATAAAAATAAATATTTTTCAACTATATTGTTATAGTTGTTTATTTTTTAAAAAGAACGTAAACTCATCATATAGTTGTATCTCAATAGTTGGATTGATAAAAAAATATATTTTATATAAAGTTCTTGATGATGTAATAATGAATATATCTTATATATATAAATAAGAGAATAAAATACAACAGAATAAATTATACCTACTCTTACACTATTTAATAAATTTTATTAAATAATTTAATTTTAAAATCAATATTAGATTAAAAGTTCTGATCATATGTATTATGTCTATAAAATTTTAGATTATTAAAAATTATTTCATACTTTATTTATAAAAATAAAGACTTTAATTATTACATTCTTACAGATGTTTAATTTTTAAAAAATTTGACATAAATAATTAAAGTAATATATATTGTAAATCAATAATTGATCGATAAAATTTATATTATATATTAAGTTGTTAATACTATAAGAGTGGGTGTAACTTAAATTATTATAATTTGATCTTTTCTTACATGTATTTATGTATATATATACATAATATATATACACGTGTCTTTGTGCATGAGACAAGAGTAAATGGCAATTTTAATAACAGTTTTGTAATTAATAACAAAAATATGCACTCTTTTAAAATTTATATATAATTATATATCATATTTATGATTTTTATTTTAAAATTTATTTTAATTTACTAATATTTATACTATAAAATATTTATTAATATTGGAGAGAAAACTTTATTACATGTATTAATTTTATCTAACTCAAATAAGATTACATCCAATTAAGAAAAATATAGTAAAAAAAATATTGACAGTTTACTGTTAATAAAAAAGGTAGATCCTTTGCAAAGATAATTATTTTACTTCCAAATATTAACTGGATAATAAAAAAAATGAGATGAAATTTTTTCTCTTACCACTGGCAAGATTTTGTTGTTCCTACTTGAAAATAACACAATAATTTGACTCTAAGTTATTTGAGGAAATTTTTATTTATTTATTTATTTATTTTGAGAAGAAAAAGTATATTTGGACTCACTTATCAATCCCACAAAAAATTTACTTTTGTTGAATCCTTGCAGAAACCAATGACAAGGGTTTGACGAATAATAATTATAAGAATGAAAAAAAAAAAAAACTGCCAAGTAAGAATCTTCAAATAGAAGACTGTGACCAGTTTATAGGGAGAGAAAAGGGTAAGTCTCGTGTTATTATTGTCATGAAGGAAAATCTTAAATATATAATTAAAAAATGAGTAGTTTAATATTATAATTTAATAAAATAATTTAATTATTTTTATATTAATTATATAGTTGATATTAAATATTTCATTTATTACTAAAAAGTCTCTTTGTATATATAATTAATTTTAGAGTAGTATAAATAATTAATATATCTTATTAATTACTCTTGACATGTCACAAGAGAATAAAGATCCAAACTCATTAATTAGACTACGAGGCCACCATAAAAAAAATAAAAATACTTTAACTTCTAACGTACCAACTCCCCTAAAAATATTCAAGAGGGCATAAAAACTGCAACTTGCAAGGTGATTTTCATGGAGAAGATTATTTCCATATAAAAAATAAATGAATTTATTGTGATAATTAATGAGTTATCGGAATAGAAAATATGTTATAATTTCAAATAAAAAATAAATTCAATTCAAACCTAATTGCCACATATCCCTGTGAGAGATTATTTCTTTTCTTCTTCTTTTTTTTCTTTTATTTTCTTTATTTTTTCCATCATCTTAAATGCCCAAAAATCACTGCTTTCCCTCTTCCTCTCTATCTATGCTCTTCAATCTTCAATATAAGCCAACAACTCTTACTTCGAAGTTCGATGAATAATCCTTATTAAGATGAATCCAATCCATATCTTCTAACTCTCTCTCTCTCTCTCTATTTCCTTTCGGCTTCATTTTTGTTTATAAGGTAAAATGTTTTCTTGGGTGCTTCATTCTTTCATCAGTTTTCTTTCTTCTTCTTCACCATTTTAGTTTCAGATTTTTCTCTCTCTTCTGTAACCTTAGCTCAATTTCTTGTTTTTCTTTTTAGATGGACAGTGATAAAGAAAGACAAGAAGTTTCAGATCATGAAGAGGAATCCTATGAGAATGAAGAGAAGATGAAAGGATCTCAACTGGGGTCTTTCAAAGATGAAGCTGAATCGATGATGGTTGATGAGGTTGCACTATATAACTCAGCACCAGGACCACGTGAGTGCAACATTTGCGGTAAGACTTTCAGAAATGGCAAAGCATTGGGAGGCCACAGAAGATCTCACTTTCAAGCTCTGAGGAAGAATCAAAGGAAGGTAAAAGCGCGTTTCCCTAATCAGAACTCAAGAATAGGTGATATTAACAATAGGGCTATTTGTGATTATGATGACGATGATGATGTTAATGATGACCCTTTTATGTGTGATGGAAAATTCACTTGTTTTCTTTGCAAGAAGGAATTTCCTTCCAAAAATTCCTTGTTTGGACACATGAAATCTCACCCTGAGAGATCTTGGAGGGGTGTGTTTCCTCCTACTCATCACCCCCATAAGCATTCTTCTTCTTCCCACAACTCTGATTCTATGGAAAACCATAACGAAGATGAGGAGGATGATGATTTTGTTCCGAATGTTGCTGTTCTTGCACTAGATGAGGAACATGTAGTGCTTGATCTCTTGCAGTTCACTTCACCAAGTTGGCTAACGAAAGATAAGAGAGGCAGAAGATGTATTGGAGGTTATGCTGCTGCTGAAACTCTCGCCTTCATTTATTCTTATGCTAAGTTATATCGTGGTGAATCTAGTAATAATAAGGCTGGAGTGGAGCAGAATACTCCTGAAGTTCCAACTCCTCAAGTTCCATGGAAATGTAACAAAAGTATGATTGGTGAATCATCAACAAGTGGCAAACCTGCGGGGAAGAAGATAAAGATCTATTTTAGTGAGATGCAGGTGGAAAACAAAGTTGAAGAGAGTGATGATTGTGATGATAGTGACATGGTGGATGGGGATGATGATGAGGAGGATGTGATGAATGAGAATGTGGATGCTGAAGAAACCCTTGGTAGGGTGCAGGATCATGCTGGTCATTTTGGTGAAAGCAAGCTGAAGAAGGTGGAGAAAGGGAAGAATATTGAGAACTTGGCATTGAACAAATCAAAGGCAAGAGACTCAGAATATGTGAATGAAGGACAAGAGAACTTGGGTGGGTACAAATGTGGCACTTGTGGGAAATCTTTTTCAACTTTCCAAGGCTTAGGAGGACACAGATCTATTCATAAGGAGAAGAACATTGCAACCATGAATGCATCAAAGGCCTCAGAAGCTGTTGCTGAAGAAAACCATTCTCGCAGCACTAGTAATATGAATAAAATGGATGAGGCATCATTGAATGAAGAAACAGAAGCAGATGAGGCATGTCAGTCTTCGGGTGCCAAGAAAATGAACTTTGATCTAAATGAACCTTATGCTATGGAGGATTAAGCAATTTGTTAGGTGCAATATTGTATAATAACATGTCATGTGACTCCTCCATTTAGCTACATTTAGAAGTTTTATAATAATTTTGCTATCTTATCCTAGATATTATTATATGTTTCAATTGAAGATTAATATTTTACCAGTGTAATCTTACTGTTTGGTGTTGTTGGGAATTAACATTCAGAATAAACACCAGCATAAATCTTCTCTTTTCAATTTCTATTGATTATCGTTTTGTAACTTTTTCGTGCTAAGAGGTTGATGAATGCAAAAGGGCTTAAAAAGTTCAAAGTTATAATCAACAGTGATTTTGCTAACTTGATTTTGGTGTTTGTATGAATACTGACATTATGGATACGTTAAACTCCATAGAAAAGGGTGTGTCTATGAATATCAGTTACTTAGTGGAAAGAAACGTTCTCAATTTCTTAACGTTGTTTATGCCCACCGCATGTTCTGATTGGCGATTCAAAATAACTTGATAATTTAAAAATTTTCGAGAATATTTAATTATAACAAATAGAAAATAATTTAAAATGGGTAGTTCTTTGTTTTCTGTATAAATCTTAACATAAAAATTATTTTCTAATATTATTGTATAAAACAAGATTTATGGATATTTTTCTTCCAAAATTCAAATTATACCACGACTATCCCGGGTAATAACGTGAGTGTGTTATTATATAAAAAAGGTAAAAATTAAATAAAAAATATTATTTAACATTAGTTTAATTGATTATATATGTATGTAGACGTTTAAAACTTTTAAAAATTATCTAATTAGTAATAATTTATTTAATGATTATCTATAAGTATTGTATTATATTTAATGCCAATTGAAGAAATTTAAATAATAATTAATGAAATTATTAAAAATAAAAATATCCTTCACTTGAATAACTAATTAAGAAATAAACTAATAGTAATTTAATTTAATTTAGCATGAATCTCATGTCATATGTTACAATATAAGAAATACAGGTCATGACTCCATGAGAAGAGAGAGTATGGTATAGCTTGGTAAAATAGTAACTGTGGATACTAATTAAATAATTAATATTTATTTTATTTAATTTAATATAAAAACTCATGTCATATATGTCACAACATAAGAAAAATTACTTCTTTCTTAAGGAAAAAATGGACATAACACTTAATAAAAATTACGAGTGAAGTCTCAAATTTAATGTATAAATATGAATTATATCATTAATTGTTTTTATAATATTTATATATATATATATATATATATATATATATATATATATGTATGTATGTATATAGTGAAATCTAATCATATCATCCCATTTTATGTCATAAATTAAGGAGAAAAAGATATTAAGATGAAAACAAACTAATATATTTTAATATACTGGTATAACGCATTGATAAATGATTAAGAATTAAGGTAATTTAATATAATATTGTAATGATCTTATATAAAAATAAAGTTTACGAGCACATTTGTTGCGTCACATGCTATTTCTCCATTATTTTCTTTTAAAAGTTAAATTATATAATATTTTTAATTTTTAATTTCAAATACTGCCCCTCATACCTAATGACAATACACACCTCAGAAAAAATTGCTATGTTACCTTTTAAAAGTAATGATTATAAAATCACTGAAATAGAAAAGAATTAAAAAAATTATAGATAAAATAAAAGTGAGATTTAAATACTGCATGAATAGGCAACAATTTTTTTAAACTTATACTCAAGAAAATATAATAAAAAAATTATTTTTATTAAAAATTATAACCTTTAACATCAATAATACACTGAACTTTATATTTTTTTTAAAAAAACTACTATGTATAAATTTTTATTATAAAATCTTGGATATAAATTTAAAAAATAGAATATATAAGACATCTAATATAATATTAATTATTTTAAATAAAATCATGAAATGGCTGATTGGGCTACAATAGTTCAAGCTTTGGGTATGGCCACAATGAACATGAATGAATGCTATTCAGACTCTATCAATAAGCGTGTATTTGTGTCTATATATATATAGAGAAGGATATTGTTATACTAATGTAAAAATAAAAATGTTTACATCTAATTTAAACTTTTTATTTAACTTATATCTAACAGTCACTAAAATAATAAATTATAACTTGTTAGATATAAGTTAAATAAAAAATTTATATTTAATATAAGAATTTTTAGACTTATACCAGTAGAAGAAGATCATGCTCCTATATATCTATATATACATATATTAATCAAATGTTTATCGGGTGAGTGATTTCTTATTTTCAAACTTGTGTGGGGTGGGGTGAATGCTTCATACTTCTCATGCTTCATAACTCCTTTTAATTTTTTAAATTCCTTCAATTCAAATTTATTTTATGCATATATTTCTTGACTTTCTATATTTGTATTTTTTTTATATCTACTTTAATTCTCATATATGTTGACTTTTAATTAATTACTGCATCAAAATCTTTGGAATTTTGTGAAGATTTTAATGTACTTCATTTAATTATATTTTGTTTTTTCTTTTAATTTATTTCACATATATGCATATTGAATTTTCATATTTTTCAAGCATTCAAATTGTGGTCACTTATTTATAAATTCTATTATTTTGAAAAAAAATTCACATAGTATATCCAAACTCTTCTTTATTTTTGTTATATTTATAAGTTAGTAGAAGTAATAAAATAAAATACTTTTAATAAATAAAATTCTTAAAGAAAATTTATATGACGATTTTAAATTTATATGACAATTTTAATAAAAGAACTTTTATATTATATATATAAATTAAAGTTAAATATATGAACTCAAAATTATATTTTACACTGTGTGTTGCACGAATGTCATACCTCCCAAATATAATTCACATTATTTATTCCTAGATGTTATTTATTTAAATCAAGTGAATAAAAATATTAGAACATAAAGAAAAAGTTGTCCATATGACTTTCTGACTTTCGGTTCTTGATACCCTAAAGTGAATAATCAATAATTTGATCTTTCTAATTAGTATTAAATTTATTAAATTATTTTTTTTCTCACTTCTTTCTATCCAGGGATTAATATATATTATACAGATTTTATATATATATATATATATATATATATATATAATCAAATTCTTATTTATATATTATTTAATCATATTATCACATGAATTGTATGTTTGTCAAAATTAAGGTGATTAAGACATTAGTAAAATTAAGGCAAATCAGAATCAAAACAATTAAGACAAATAGATACTTGCATATTATACATCCTACCTTACATAGCACAAAATTTATAATTAAGTTTTTGAATGGAACTTAATTTTGAGAATTTAATTAAAATGCACTAATTTAATATTATCATTCATTTATAATTTATTATATCAATAAAAACTGTTATAATTTATAATCATTAATTTTAAAATATATTAATGATATAATATTATTATTTGATAATATGAAAAGTATTAAAATTAAATATAGGGTGAGTGGGGGAGGGAGACGAGTAACAATAACTGACTAGTCAAACGCTTTACATTAAAAGCTCCTATTTTGTAATATAACTTGGAAATCAAATAATTATTGCAGTCAAATTGTTATTTACTTTTCTCTTTGGATTGTTTGAATGAGCTTTGACCGATTTGCACGAATAAACCTATTTTTTTTACCTTTTTATCTTTTTTTTTTCTCAGTTCTAACAATTAGTAATTATGTTAGAATTACAATATTTTTTTTCGATAGAGAAAGATTTTTTTATACCAGTGTAAGTTTAAAAACTCTTACACTCAATCTGAGTTTTTCATTTAACTTAAATCTAACGGTTAGTGAAAATAAATTATAACCCGTTAGATTTAAGTTAAATGAAAAGTTTAGATTAAATGTAATAATTTTTAAACTTATACTAGTGTAAGAAGATCCTACCTTCTTTTTTTATTGTTTATCTCCCTCCTCAGTGCTAGCACAATTGTTTAAATATTGTAATTTTTAAAATTTAATTATATTTTTGGTTCTTTTGATTTAAATCATGTATTATTTTGCTTTTAAATTTTATTTTTTTAACTAATTGAGTTTTTATTTTTAAATTGTGCAAATTTTGTATCACGTAGATTTTCCTTTTAAATTATTAATTTTTTCAGTAAAAAAATTACAAATTGATTTGATTAATTATCTTTTATTCAAAACTCATAAACCAAAATATCAAATTTCAATTAAAATAAAAGAAATAAATAAAACCTCCTCTCTGAGTCCTATTCTTTTATCTTTTAAAAATCCTTTAAATTTGATTTAGTTAATCTCTCATATATTTTTCAAATCATTTTTTGTTCTAATTCTATTACAAATCCTTCAAGAATTCAAATAAAAGATAAAAATAAATATATGATTTTTTATTAGTAAAAGAGAATCAATGATGAGGGACTAATTAACTTCATAATTTTAAAAATAGTAAAACTTAATTAGCTTGAAAAAAAATTGGAAGACTAAAATCTAACAGTTTAATTAGAGAAATCGAAAGTGCTATCAAGCCTTGTTTTTTCAAATATATATTGTGGCCATTTTAATTTTAGAATTCTTTCTATAGTACTTAGTTTTAAAAAATAAGTGTCTAACAAAAATACCATTTTCTTAAATCAAATAGCTTGAAAGTCCCTTGTGTCGGTGGTTTCCTAGTTATATTTTACCATTCAATAACCTTGAACCTATTGTCATGATACAATGCACCTTTGTTTAAAAGATGGTCATCGTGCAGGTAACTTTTTCTGCCATACTTTCCATAATATAAGGTGTAGAAATTAATAGTACTAACCGAAACTTGAAACTCTTAATTATACAAAAACAAAAAGGGACTACGTTAAAAAATTATACAAAATATTAACCATAGTTGTAGTCAACTATAGATAATATACCCACAATCACACTTTCCCCTCTTCCTCCCCATCTATATATATTGCTTTCGAATTTTCAGAATAGCTAAACAACACTCAATTTCAAAGAATTTTGAATGATTATTACTTTAAAACGAAATTGTATCTTTTAGTCATCCTTTTCTCATATCTATTGGTACTTCAATTTTTGAAATTGAGGTTAGTTTCTTTGATGGGTTATGAAGTATTTTATTTTCAGTCTTTAATCTTCTCTCTACTTCCTCATGCTGTTTAATTTAGTTTGTTCTCTTTTCTTAGCCAAGCCCTTTCTTGTTGCTCTTTATTTCATCTAAAATGGATGGCAGGAAAGAAAAGTCATAAGTTTGGATTTTGATGCGGAGCAATAATCGCATGAAACCATGAAGTGGATAAGAAGATGAAAAGATCCCCCTTGTAGTCTTGCAAAGCTGAAGGTGATGAATCGATGGCTTATGATGATGAGGTTGCAGTTGATAACTCAGATCCAACATCATGCGAATGTGATATTTGTGGCAAGGTTTTCAGCAGTGGCAAAGCGTTGTGTGGCCATAGAAACAGATCTCACACTCAAGCTTCCAAGAAGCATCAAAAGAGGGTAATAACTCGTCTCTTTAATGACTCAAAATCGAGTGATATGCATAAAAGGGTTAATCATGCTTATGATGTTGACCCTTTGGTGTGTGGTGGGAAACCCACTTGTTATCTTTGCAAGAGGGACTTCCTTTCTAAGAATGCTTTGTTTGGGCACATGAGATCTCACCCTAAGCGGCAATGGAAGGGTGTGTGTCCTCCTATTCACTCTCACAGACACTCTTCTTCAACTTTTTCTGATTCACCATCTCATTATTATGGTTCTATGAAAGATACTATAGAGCAAGATGATGGCAGTGATGATGATGATGACGACGACGATGACGACGACGACGATGATTGTGTTAGTGAGGATGAGGATCACATTGATGTCACTGATCTTTTAAAGTTAACTTCTCCAAGTTGGTTAAAGACAGATAAGAGAGGCAGAAGTAGCATTGGTGCTTATGCGGCTGCCGAAACTCTCGTACTCATTTGTTCTCATGCTAGGTCCTTGTGCGGTGAGTCTAGTAGTAGACTTAGCCTCAAGGAGGCTAGTGTGAAGCCAAACAGTACTTCTCATGTTCCAACCCCAAGTAAGAAAAGGAAGATTGGTGAATCATCACTTAATGAGAGACTTATGGTAAAGAAGATAAAAGTCTATCATGGACAAGTTTTGAATAAGGATAATGGGGAGGAGGAGGCAAGGAAGAGTGAGAAATTGGTATTGAAATCAAAGGATAAAGGTTCAATGTATGAAAATGAAAGTCGAGAAAAACTGGGTGGGTATAAGTGTCACACTTGTGGTAAATCCTTTACTACTTTTCAAGGCTTAGGAGGACACAGATCAATACACAGAGGGAAGAACATTGTAGGAGCATATGCTACAACGGATGAAGAGAACGATTCTTACTATTCAGATTGTGCGCCTAAGATGGATGTGGCATTACTGAGTGAAGAAACTTCAGAAGATGATGCAAGTCAATAAGCAGGTCCAATGGAGTTGGATTGTGATCTGAATTGAGCCTTTTGTTGGGGAGGATTAAGCATTTGGTCAAGTTAGCCAATTTGACGTGTCATATGTTTTCTTCATTTTGGGGGTATTTAGAAAATCATATGAATTTTACAATCTTAGTATCTTATGTTTGCCATTGCCTTATCTTGATAGGGTCCGCAGAAGCACAAATTTGCCATGTAACCTTCAGATAAACAATTTAATATACAAATAATTTCACCCTTTCAAGCCAAGAGGTATATATAATAAGCAAAAGAAATCAAGAAGTTATATAATCGGCGATTATTTTTCAAATTAAATGGATTGATTTTTTAAGTCCTTATGCTAAACTAGTTTACTATATGTACATGAATATGAATGTTGTCCATATTTCTTCATAAATGCGGTCTATGAATATCAATTACTGAATATTGTTACATGCCCACCATTTATGCAGGAAAAGAGGAAAGTCAGTTGGCCACTTTGCACCAATTAATTTCATTTATACCAATCAATTTAGAACCTATTTTCACGAAGTGTGTGCCTTTGTCTGAAATGACCACCATGTATGTACATTTGTCATGCTTATTTCTAAAGTAGAAGACAGACAAATTTATATCACAAATTAGAAAAAAATTTCTCATTAAAACTTGAGGCTATATTGTCTACAGGAATTAGAAATTGAGGCTATATTGTTACAGAACTATAAAATATTAATGCAGTTTTTTATGTAGCATATGATAACATAGTCTAAGGCATATTTTTTAAAGAGAATAATTTTACACTTTATGTGCCCCGATTTAAAATATCACAATCTTATGGTTGTCATTCCCGTTACGGTCAACTTTATAATCAACATGACCATAATCACCGATAAAATAACTATGGTCATTATGTTTATTATTAATTATGTGACTTTTCTTATATAAGTATCGTATTTTTTTTCTTTTTTATCTTTCTTATATATTGTTATTATTGTAAAAATTAATATCATTTACTAATAAATAAAAATTGAAAAATGTTAACATACTTTTTTTAAGAGTGTTTACGATTTAGATTAAACCAATTTTCAGACGATAAATCATTTAATCTGATCATAAATATATATGTTGCAAATCAGTTTAGATTGGTGAAAATTTTAAATTCAATCCAAAGTATCGGATTATATTCGATGGTTAAATTTTTAAATTTTATTTTTAATACAATCAAAAAGTGATGCACAATCTTTTATCATCTCTTCTATACTAATAAATATGATATACAAGAACCACGTTGAATTAATTAATAAATGAATTTATACGTATATTAAAATAATAAACTATACTAAGAAAATAATAATAAGATGTATTGAAAATAAAGTTGTTAAAAAATAATAAAGTATTATAGTTTCATAAATATATATGGTTGCCACATGGAGATGACAATAGATATATAGAATAATATAGTACTCGTTAATTTCCATATATTTGTAGTATAAAGATATCCATACTTGTTTATATAATACTTTGATTCTCATATTTTGTTGGGTACTTGAATTCACATACTCGTAGCTGTTTTCTATAATTTGTTAATTGATATTTAACTTTTTCTAACATTCTTTTTAGGAACTAATTAATAAAACATAAATATCATTAAAACGACTACTAAGTTTTTATAATTAGGACAGAGATCAACCAAGACAGTGTCCCATTGTTGATTAAAGAGTCATAGTCATCCTTCATAGCATGACACCATTTAGATATAGATAATGCTTCCTTGACTAAAGTTGGCTCAACTGTATGATCATAGCTAGATGAGGAAGATTCAAGAATTTTGAAATCTTTTTACCATGTGATGAGCACTGGGGTTACTTTAACATGATTAAAGTGAGGAACAACATATAAACCACCTTTAATAATTCCTTGAATTAGAGTCTCCTTAGTGTTCTAGTGTTTGACAACATAATAATTTGGGTGAAATTCAAAAAAGAAGATTGTCTTTAACTAGTTTGGAAACACAAGGTAAATTCTGAGTTAGAGGGAATTGAAGTAGTTGAACCAGTAGAAAAGTTTTAGAATGAGAATCAACTGAGAAATATAAGTGACCTGTATGAGAGATAGGCAAACCTAAGCTATTTCCAATGCAAACTCGATTTGATCCACCGTAGTCAGATTGTGCAGTGAGATTACCTTCATCATGAGTTAGATGGTGTGTGACCCTCTAATCTGGATAACAAATGTTGAAGGTGATTCAAGCATATATATTGATTCAATTCAGTTTGCGTGTGGTTCATATTCAACAATTACTAGTGGTTTGGCTTCTTGCTTTGGCGCAACACGAATATGGTAGGGTTCACATCAAACAGAGAAAATTGGAGGCCTACTTTGCATCTTAGACAAGAGCAAAGGAAAAGAAGTTAAAACTCCAATTAAGATTAAAAAAGAAGAAGGAAAGATCAATAAATAGTTTTTTGTTACATATATGTTGAAGCTCCATTATATTAGTGACAAAAATCACAAAGAAGCAATTCTTGATGGATTACTACTAGAGTATGATTTGTTTGTCATTGCAAACACATCACAGCATAATCCATATTCAATTGATGAACTTGAAGCGTTACCGCTAGCCCAAGAAGCTACTTGCAACAGATCATCTTATCCTAGTTGTGTTTCATGGTTAATGCCATCAAAGACGACTCAATAATACCACCACTATGCCAGGTTAAACTTGCAAAATAGAAAAGTCCACCTTGGAGGCTCATAATTAAACTATAGTTATTGAACATAATAAGATTTAGGAGTTAGTGTGCCAGCTATGTAGGATGAAAGTGCTTGGAGCAGACACAACAAAACATATAAAAATTGTCAATTTTTGCATTACTATTATGTTAATTGTCAAAATCCTAACTTCAAGCTTTCCACCAACAAAAAAATAGGATGCATATCCTTTGCAATAGATGCGAGAACAGCACTGTCCATTTTCATTTTCACGAATTATGTGCTGTCGGTGAAGAGTACTCCAATCCATTGTGGAAATTTTGTCACGATGATTTTAGTGTGAAAAGAATACTGCAATTCCGTGTGGAATTTACTACTGGACAAAACCCTCACCTTAGTACTTTAGAAGCTATGCAAAAGAAGGTTCAAAATGTGATGTTGATCGAGCAGGAGGTATTTCCTTGTTCTAGATGATGTGTGGAATGAAGACCGAATCAAATGGAATGAGGTCAAGGAGTATATGTCGCAGTGTGCGAGGGCAACAAGAGGTGTTTCGATTTTGGTCACTACTCAGCTTTGAAGTGTTGCATCCGTTGTGTCCAAACAGAGAAGGGAGTGTAGAGCTTGCGGCAATAGGGAAAGAGATAGTGAGAAAACGTGTTGGATTGCCTCTTTCGATCAAAGCTCTGGGAAGCCTTTTGCACTTCAAAAGTGACAGAAAACAATGGCATAGTGTAAAGATAGTGAGAAAACTTGCTTGAGGAGTGCGTGTGAGTGACACAGTGATAGGAAGGGAAGCTAAGTGTGCTTACTTCATCGACAGCACATAATTCGTTTAAACGAATTAAGATTTGCTTTTTAAGACAACCTTATTTTTTGTGTAATCTGGAGATGGAGATAAAAATTGGATGATCTTGTTTTTACATAAACAAACAAGAAAATTTCCCTATCTTAAAATACACATGCCCTTAGCATTTATACACAAATATAGTTAAAATACAATTTTCATAAACCTTAAGAATGGGAATTTAGTAAATCACTAAACTTTACTTGCAATTAAAATTGCCAAGTAGTGCGCTAACTACTAAAATTTGAGTATTATAAACATTTCTAGATATTATAATTGGTGAGGGCACAATCATCCTCTAGAATTGTTTCCGGGCAAAAGTCAACCTATATCGGTCCAGAGGAATCCCTAGATAATGATAAAAAGAAAATGAATCAAACATGACTGAACATAAGAGAACGAGAATCAATTAAAATGTGCCTTCTTTACGTTGAACCTTAGTTATCACATTATCAATGGTGTCGCTTGACTCCATCTCAAGTGTGATGGTCTTCCCCGTAAGGTTTAATGGCTAGCCTAGAGCTTGATTAGGTTTCCCACAAACTTGAATGCTTGGACCCTAGCTCCATAAAATCATATCAGCAAAAAGTCGTAGTATGAAAGGCACCAATTGGAAAGATCTGTGAAGGTTATCAACAATTTTTGGCAACCAAAACTTTTTGTACGAGGATTGAAATAGTGTAATTTGAAAAAAGTGAAAAGAAGTGAAAAACAAATGGGTTAAAACCCACTACTTATCAGAACAAATTACTAGTTCAATTTCAAATCCAGAATTGACCCAAATTACTTTTCCAGGATTAGCAAATACGCAAGTCTTCGCATGTATCTTTCACTTGCAATTTCAAGAAATTAGGGATGAATCAAGAGAAAATATCTAAGATGCTGAGAAAAATATAGAAAAAAGTTCAACTCATTTTTCTAATTTTGGAGCCTTCAGCTACACTTGTATGTTAGATTTGGTGGAAATTTAAAAGTTATACAAAAATAGAAAAAAAGAGACAAAAGTTATTAAAGATATTTTGGTAAATTATCATTATATTTACTTTTATTTGTTATTAAGAACAATTGCCATTGTACGATCTTACATTATCAAATAAAGTTTAATAGTCACAAAAATATTGGAAAGTTAAAGGAATTACTAGCCATTGTATTATGGCTTCAAAATGATTCAATTAATTAAAGGATTTTACGTGTAGCAATATTTTTTCTCATGTTACCGAATAAAATATCAAGATGACAGCAGTGTAGAAAAGGAAAAAGTGTTATATGTTGAAAGGTTGTAACTTTAATTGAGTGATTCAAAGATACAAATGAACAAATTTTTGTATACTAACACAATTGAATAGGGTATCTATAACAACTGCATAACTAACTAATTAACATACTAATTATAGAATTTTACAATAGAATGTTTACAACATATCATTTATTGTAAGACAAGCATTTACATT